GCCCACCCTTCTCTTTCTTGCCTTATTTTTGTTGCCTGGTCGTAGAATTCAAGTAACCCTGTGAGGCAGGACCTGCCATCCCTGAACCCATGTTGATGCTGTGTTACAAAGTTCCTTCGCTCCAGATGCTCCACTAGTTTTTTTCGCACAATCTTCTCCATCAGCTTGCATGGTATGCAGGTTAGGGACACTGGCCTGTAGTTCAGTGCCTCCTGTCTATCCCCTTTCTTGTATATCGGGACTACGTTAGCTGCTTTCCAAGTATCTGGCAGTTCCCCTGTTGCCAGTGATTTGTTATACACTATGGAGAGTGGTAGGCTCAGTTCTCTTGCTCCTTCCTTTAGAACCCAAGGGGAGATTCCATCTGGGCCTATAGCCTTCGTCACGTCCAACTCTAGTAAACACTTCCTTACTTCCCCACTGGTAATCTCAAACTCTTCCAGTGGTTCCTGGTTAGCTATTCCCTCACTTACCTCTGGAATTTCTCCTTGTTCTAAGGTGAAGACCTCCTGGAATTTCTTATTCAATTCCTCACACACTTCCTTGTCATTTGTAGTGAATCCTTCCGCCCCTATCCTTAATCTCATAACCTGTTCCTTTACTGTTGTTTTTCTCCTAATGTGTGTGTGTGTGTGTGTGTGTGTGTGTGTGTGTGTGTGTGTGTGTGTGTGTGTGTGTGTGTGTGTGTGTGTGTGTGTGTGTGTGTGTGTGTGTGTGTGTGTGTGTGTGTGTGTGTGTGTGTGTGTGTGTGTGTGTGTGTGTGTGTGTGTGTGTGTGTGTGTGTGTGTGTGTGTGTGTGTGTGTGTGTGTGTGTGTGTGTGTGTGTGTGTGTGTGTGTGTGTGTACTCACCTATGTGTATTCACTGTGCTTGTGTGTCTCAACTGTCAATCAACTGGTGTACAGATTGTGTGAGCCTAGTGGGCTCTATCATATCTACATTTAAAACTGTGTATGGAGTCAGCCTCCACCACATCACTGCCTAATGCATTCCATCCGTTAACTAATCTGTGTGTGTGTGTGTGTGGGTGTCAGTTTCCACCTGTGTGTGTGTGTGTGTGTGTGTGTGTGTGTGTGTGTGTGTGTGTGTGTGTGTGTGTGTGTGTGTGTGTGTGTGTGTGTGTGTGTGTGTGTGTGTGTGTGTGTGTGTGTGTGTGTACTCACCTAATTGTACTCACCTAATTGTGCTTGCGGGGGTTGAGCTCTGGCTCTTTGGTCCCGCCTCTCAACCGTCAATCAACTGGTGTACAGATTCCTGAGCCTATTGGGCTCTATCATATCTACATTTGAAACTGTGAATGGAGTCAGCCTCCACCACATCACTTCCTAATGCATTCCATTTGCTAACTACTCTGACACTGAAAAAGTTCTTTCTAACGTCTCTGTGGCTCATTTGGGTACTCAGCTTCCACCTGTGTCCCCTTGTTCGCGTCCCACCAGTGTTGAAAAGTTCGTCCTTGTTTACCCGGTCGATTCCCCTGAGGATTTTGTAGGTTGTGATCATGTCCCCCCTTACTCTTCTGTCTTCCAGTGTCGTGAGGTGCATTTCCCGCAGCCTTTCCTCATAACTCATGCCTCTTAGTTCTGGGACTAGTCTAGTAGCATACCTTTGGACTTTTTCCAGCTTCGTCTTGTGCTTGACAAGGTACGGGCTCCATGCTGGGGCCGCATACTCCAGGATTGGTCTTACATATGTGGTGTACAAGATTCTGAATGATTCCTTACACAGGTTCCTGAACGCCGTTCTGATGTTAGCCAGCCTCGCATATGCCGCAGACGTTATTCTCTTTATGTGGGCTTCAGGAGACAGGTTTGGTGTGATATCAACTCCTAGATCTTTCTGTCTGTTTCATTAAGTACTTCATCTCCTATTCTGTATCCTGTGCCTGGCCTCCTGTTTCCACTGCCTAGTTTCATTACTTTGCATTTACTCGGGTTGAACTTCAACAGCCATTTGTTGGACCATTCACTCAGTCTATCCAGGTCATCTTGTAGCCTCCTACTATCATCCTCTGTTTCAATCCTCCTCATAATTTTTGCATCGTCGGCAAACATTGAGAGGAACGAATCTATACCCTCTGGGAGATCATTTACATATACCAGAAACAGTATAGGTCCGAGGACTGACCCCTGCGGGACTCCACTTGTGACGTCTCGCCAATCTGAGACTTCACCCCTCACACAGACTCGTTGTCTCCTGTTGCTTAGGTATTCCTCTATCCACCGGAGTACCTTCCCTCTCACTCCAGCCTGCATCTCCAACTTTCGCACTAGCCTCTTGTGTGGCACTGTATCAAAGGCTTTCTGACAATCCAAAAATATGCAGTCTGCCCACCCTTCTCTTTCTTGCCTTATTTTTGTTGCCTGGTCGTAGAATTCAAGTAACCCTGTGAGGCAGGACCTGCCATCCCTGAACCCATGTTGATGCTGTGTTACAAAGTTCCTTCGCTCCAGATGCTCCACTAGTTTTTTTCGCACAATCTTCTCCATCAGCTTGCATGGTATGCAGGTTAGGGACACTGGCCTGTAGTTCAGTGCCTCCTGTCTATCCCCTTTCTTGTATATCGGGACTACGTTAGCTGCTTTCCAAGTATCTGGCAGTTCCCCTGTTGCCAGTGATTTGTTATACACTATGGAGAGTGGTAGGCTCAGTTCTCTTGCTCCTTCCTTTAGAACCCAAGGGGAGATTCCATCTGGGCCTATAGCCTTCGTCACGTCCAACTCTAGTAAACACTTCCTTACTTCCCCACTGGTAATCTCAAACTCTTCCAGTGGTTCCTGGTTAGCTATTCCCTCACTTACCTCTGGAATTTCTCCTTGTTCTAAGGTGAAGACCTCCTGGAATTTCTTATTCAATTCCTCACACACTTCCTTGTCATTTGTAGTGAATCCTTCCGCCCCTATCCTTAATCTCATAACCTGTTCCTTTACTGTTGTTTTTTCCTAATGTGTGTGTGTGTGTGTGTGTGTGTGTGTGTGTGTGTGTGTGTGTGTGTGTGTGTGTGTGTGTGTGTGTGTGTGTGTGTGTGTGTGTGTGTGTGTGTGTGTGTGTGTGTGTGTGTGTGTGTGTGTGTGTGTGTGTGTGTGTGGTGTGTGTGTGTGTGTGTGTGTGTGTGTAAATGTCCTCTTATAACCTCTGCGTGTACGCCGGACGACTCAAATAGAAAACGGAACAGAACGTCACTTTTGTGAGTCGATTTCATTTCAAATTACGTCCAAATTTGGCCATCGTGCGCATACGAGCGAAAAGTGACGTTATTTTTAAAAGAACGGGTTGCTCTCAGACCGTTTCGTCGCCTATAAAGCGACCATAAAGCGTCGAACACCTCTTGACGACCGCATACCTTCAAGAAATACATTCCAAGGAAACTTTAAGAGCGTGTTCTGTCCTCGTTCACAGCACCGTTAATGCAGTTTCTACACTTTATATTATATTAGACACATTGTCAGCAGTAAGGCAATTTTTCGTGTAATGGAAAACGGAAATTGTTATTTAATTTATTGGATCAGATCAACACGTTTTGTATTTTTAATTTTGCATGAATCGTTTACCAATACCCCATATTTACGGCATAAATATCTAGTAAGTGATATATTGACGACAATATACAATAAACAAAAACTGAAGATATACATTCGACAATGAAAATGGTTATATCTCTCTGTCTGTCTGTCTGTCTGTCTGTCTCTCTGTCTCTGTCTCTGTCTCTCTCTCTCTCTCTCTCTCTCTCTCTCTCTCTCTCTCTCTCTCTCTCTCTCTCTCTCTCTCTCTCTCTCTCTCTCTCTCTCTCTCTCTCTCTCTCTCTCTCTCTCTCTCTCTCTCTCTCTCTCTCTCTCTCTCTCTCTCTCTCTCTCTCTCTCTCTCTCTCTCTCTCTCTCTCTCTCTCTCTCTCTCTCTCTCTCTCTCTCTCTCTCTCTCTCTCTCTCTCTCTCTCTCTCTCTCTCTCTGATTCACTTTGCAGAAGAACTACCGTGAAGACGACCCAGCCGAATAGTTGGGAGATTGGTGTCAGACCTCAGATAACGTGAGACCCATTCTTAATGTTGCTGGAGATTAATTTCTAATGTTGCAAAAGGAAGGTTCCTGGTGAGTAGAAAGACTGTAAAATAAAATATAAATGGGGAAAATTTTGTAGTTTCTGCTAAAAATAGTTCAATAATCATAGCCCCGTATGCAGCCCTTTCTGCCACCCAGCAAAATAAGTCAACTGTGGGCGGCCCGTTTTGCCACCCAACAAAATAACAGTCAACGGGTAAGCGGCCCGTTCTGCGCAGAGGTATGTTCCGAGACACCTCCTAAATTCACTCCATAACACTCTTTGTATTTTATTGGCGGTCATTATGTATGCTAGAGAAACCAATACCGAAGACGTGAAATCTACAACAGAAAGAAATGGGGCTGGCGTGGAAATTGAGTATAAAAATAGGTTGATTAGCAAAGGTTGGAAGAGCGCGCGATGTTGGTATCAGTGTAGAGGAGCTTAGGGGCTGGAAGGGGACTGGGCAAGGGTGGAAAGGGACTGGGAGGGGTGGAGACTAGGTACTGCTGTGAGAGCGTTCAGTGCGCCTTAGATGGTGATGATGTGAACACCTCTGTGCTGCGCTCCCGATACTGGGGTCCCGTCCTGCTGACATTTCAAGGGCTGGTGTGGTAATCTTACCCGGAAACGAGCGCTGACTTAATTAACTACTTTGTTTTTTGTTTTTTTTCTTGTGTGGTTTTAAAAAGTGTATTAAATTCCTCGTAAATAATTTTGATCTCGTTATCTAAAAGTAAAACACTAATAAAAAATATATATATGAAGTTTTCGTGTCTTGAATCATACTAAATTTCAGAGTTAACTAAATACGTGAATTACGAATGTTAATACTTAACTGCAGAAAAAGAATTTTTATTATTTGATTCACACTGAATGATAGCAAAAAGTTAATATTTGGTGCTGAGCAATAGAGATATTTTATCGTCATAATTTAGTGGGTTTATGGAGCAGCACTAGCGAACCTGTTGTCTGTGGAGTCTTCAGCTTCATCTCCACGGGAACTCAGTTCCAGCATCTTCATCTCCACAGATAATCAATTCTCGTACATTCAGTTCCACAGGTAATAAATTCAGCATATTCATCTTTACAGGTAATCAGCTGTTGCATATTCATCTCAACAGGTAATTAGTTGTAGCATTTTCAGCTCAACAAATAAGCAGATGTTGTAAATTAATCTCAACAGGTAATCAATCAGATCAAGAAACATCTTCCTCTATAGAACTGTTTAAACGTGCAAGCACAGTGATAAGCTGTTGCATTTTGGGACACGCTCGATCGCCCAATGATTGGGCGATCGATCGATTGATGTTCGAATTCATGTTGTTGATGGAGGTAGCCATGTATTGGATTGCTGAGGGTGGAAGTAGTATGTTGCATTGTTGTTGCTGCATGCAGTTTATTGCACTGTTGTTGATGACGGTTAGTTTATTGTATTGTTGCTTATGGAGGTAGTTTCGTGCATTGCTGTTGACACAGGAATTTTATTTTAATGATGTTGTTGAATGTAGGGTCTTGTATTGTTGTTGAAGCCAGTAGATGACTGAATTATTTTTGTTCAAAAACAGTAGTTCACTGAATTATTTTTGTTCAAAATCAGTAGTTCATTGAATTATTTTTGTTCAAAAACAGTAGTTCACTAAATTATTTTTGGTCAAAATCAGTAGCTCACTGAATTATTTTTGCTCTAAACAGTAGTTCAATGAATTATTTTTGTTCAAAATCAGTAGTTTACTGAATTATTTTTGACGCTGGTAGCTTCTTGCATAAAGGTTCTTCTTGAAGGGAGTTCCTGTTCTATTGCTGATGCAGATAGTTTTGTTGAATTGTTGATGCTGATGTAAGTAGATATGGATTTGTTGTAGATGAAGGTAGGTTTTTCAAAGCAGTAAATATTAAGCTCTAACTTTCAACAAATATATGGGTGATACATATTGTCTATATGAAACTGTATCATACAGTAAACGTAAAGTTGTATTAATCAGTGTATGTAAAGCTTTATCATAGAGTAAATGAAAATCTGTATCAATCAGTAAATATAAAGCTGCATCATACTCTAAATGTTAAGTTATTTTAAACAGTAAATGTTAAACTTTATAATACAGTAAATATAAAACTGAATTGCACAACAATTATAAAGCTGTGTCATACAGAAAAATGCAGTTTTTGAAGTACATTATTTAGAATTAACCCAAAATCACCTTTAGTATCCAAACACAATTTGAATCAGCTTTGTTCATTGGTTATTGTTTACCCCATACCCATCCTGCGGGTGGCAGATTACACAGGCATATATTTGGGCTCAGGAATGGAAACCTAGAATTAATTTAGCTAAGCCAGTTACATCAATAATAATGAGCTGGTTGTACAGTTTAATGCATATATCAACAATGGGTTCGTGGGAACGATTACAAGTTCAGTGCTTAAGATAAGTAACTTAAGCGCTGAGAAAGTTTCGTAATTGTATTTTCTAGAATAATGCATTCACTCCCCTTTTCCCCTTACCATTTAGTAGGCGACGTTTAAAAGGTTACAATCACCCATATTTACTGCATACAATCACCAGACTGTGGATATTTGGATTTTTTTTCTTGAAGTAAATAATTTTGAATGAAATATTTACACATTTCGTCAACATGTGTTACAGAGTTCTCTTTAAATTCGCATCACTTCTTGCACATCGACTCATAGTGAGTCTGGATGTGCGAATAATTTTACTGTCAACTTGTATTTGGTCAGGTCTACATCAGTAGGCCATGTGCCAATCCCCAGAGACCGAGTCTAAGCTTATAACCTGCTTATAACCGAGTCTAAGCAGAGCAGTAATAGCATCTAGGAGTCTGCTGATTTTAAGTGGATAATCCATAGGTGTGTGGTTCTCCTTGTATGTTAGTATGAAGATAGATTCAAGCCTTCAAGGGAATTCTTGAAACTGGTATTGTAGATCTCTCTTTTCCTTATGTCTACAAGGATTTGTTGATGTTCTTAGTGTTCTCTGGATACTTATAAACAATGCATTCTTATTTTGAGATGATTTCGGGGCTTAGCGTCCCAGCGGCCCGGTCCTCGACCAGGCCTCCTTTTAAATACTCATTACCAGGAAACAGCCCGTAGCAGCTGTCTAACTACCAGTTACCTATTTACTGCTTGATGAACAGGTGCTTCAGGGTGAAAGAAACTTTGCCCCTTTGATTCCGCCTCCATCGGGAATCGAACCCGGAACCTCAGGACTACGAATCCCGAGCTTTGTTCTCTCAGCTGTCAGGCCCCAGCATGGTTATAGTAAACTTCTTGTTTGATTGCAAATTGTTTGGCTAACTCACGAGCTCTGTCATTAGGCCAAAATGAGATGGAATCCATAATGAAATGGCCTCTCTTATTCTCATTAATGTTTTATGTTTTGTATTTGTGTCTAACCTCAAACACAAGCATATTAAAATTGTCTTAAAGTGTTGAGCACAAGTAAGGACTTGTATCAGCAAATAAAGTTACATTTTGTAGCAAAACAATTTTATAATTTTATTCAGAAATAAATTTAATGAAATAACAAATAAAACTGAGGGACAATTTATATTTTAATTTTGACAAAAGTATAACATTTCCGTCATACGGAACTATTATGACGTACGTACTCAGTACAAACAAATTATTTATTGTCTAATTTCGCCATGATTATGCCATAGTTAACCGTAAGAAATTGATGATGCATTAAAATATAAATATACACGTAAACTATACTTTTATTCGAATTCATTCAAAATATGTGTTTTCTAAATTTGATTCTTTTATTCGGTGATAATCTTTCGTATATTGGGCTATATTCGATGCTAATCATTCGTATATTGGGCTGTATTCGGTGCTATTCATTCGTATATTGGGCTATAATCGGTGCTAATCTTTCGTAGATTGGGCTATATTCGGTGCTAATCTTTCGTATATTGGGCTATATTCGGTGCTAATCTTTCGTACATAGACCTATACGGCCTAACGCTTACGGCAGGATTGACTACAGATCTTTCATGGTATTAACCTGGAAGTTATTGACATGAAATGTTCTTGACCGACGTTTCGGTCCAGGACTGACCGAAACGTCGTCGCTTCACTATCTTCTGAGTTTTGGTTTGATCATCATCCTGGAAGTTAATCCTTTTAACAAAGGATTACATTCTTTCATTATCCTTTTAACAATGGATTCGTCATACGAACACTGCGATTCTTACAGCTCTCACAGTGCTTTTGTCATGGTCGTTTTCATAGCATCGGTCACGACCAATTTAGGTCGGACGCTTTTGCTGTGTGTAACGAGCTGTTACGATGAGTTATTGCACCGTCAATAATCCAATCTCTGCACCCAACGAGACGCGTCGCACTATCCCACCAAACCTATTGAGTCCGTTGCATCAATCCATCCTCCTGTTTAGATAGTACTTTTTGTAACTATTTGGACGATGGTACATATGTTGATGTAATGGAAAGTTAGTAGAACTTGGTACTAATCACTTTATAGAGTCCCGAAAAATAGAGCAGAAATCAAAATATAGATATTCCTAGGCCTAGTATAGCACATGTATGTGCTATACTAGGCACATATATTAGGCCTCAGCTAACGTGTATTAGGCCTACGATGGTTAGGCTAAGTTAGGTTTTAATAGAAACATAAATACAAAACCTTTTCCGGTTTGATCAAATTCAACAGTACCAAATATAACTTTCTAATTGCCCATTACGTTAATATATGTAAGCTGGTCCATATAGTTATAAAAAGTGTTATCTAAACAGGAGGATGGGTTAGTTTCACAGGTGAAGATATCAGTGAGGACGCTGCCTTCCATAGTAGACTGCTTTGGTAACGTTAAGGTGGCATATTCATGCAAAATTAAAAGTGGTTCAATTTGCTTATAAATTTATGTATGAAATGGTTATAGAAAGGGCTGCAACTGGTCTAAGTTTCACCATCACACCCTAAACAGAAAAGGAGAAAAAAAATACACAACGTATTATGCAACGAATTTTCAACATTTTCAAATACTCTCAGGGAACATATGTGTCAACTAAAATCCTTTCTATAACACACAGATATTAAATTTAGCACATAATAAAGGATTGTTTTGATCAGTTTTATCAAAAAAGTGTTTAGTGCAATAATATAATTATTCAAAGTTACCCTTCCAAAAATATGCAATATATGATGTTTATAAATTTTTATAAAATCAACAAATGGACTTTGGACTAAAATGTCTACAATGTTCTGTAGAAGCACAAACTCTTCATATAAGGTGTAATTTGCATGTAAATTGATTCATAAATGAAAGCTCTGAGGTACTTTGAAGTTGTAAATTACTTTCCAGAGTAAAATAAAGATCCAAGTTCGGCCACCTGTAGCTGAGCTTGACTTCGACAGATTTCGTTCATAATTGGCACCCTTGCAGATATACATCCATTGAGCAAGGGGTGCAAGTTTCATGCAAATCCCTTGATAACAAACGAAAAAAAAATTGTCAAAAAAAAAAAAGAAAAAAAATTTTTTTTACATATATATATATTGCACATACATATTACAATTATTACAAGAGTTTGTGCTTCTACAGCACATAGTAGACATTTTAGTTGACACATGTGTTCCCTGAGATTATTTGAGAATGTTGAACATTCGTTGCATAATACGTTGTGTATTTTTTTTCTCTTTTTCTGTTTAGGGTGTGATGGTGAAACTTGGACCAGTTGCAGCCCTTTCTATAACCATTTCATACATAAATTTATAAGCAAATTGAACCACTTTTAATTTACATGAATTTAAATGAATATGCCCCCCGTTAAAGGCCCATGAAGTACAAAATGCAACCTGTTAGTCGAAAGGTTTAGTTGAAAGGAAAGGTTCTTTCAGGCTGCCTAATCGCTATGAACACTGGAATTTCCTTAGTGGAGACAATTGGGTTCGCGTGACAATAGCCACCATAAACATAGTTCTCCAGGATGATATTCGATTTCCCAATACGCTCTCTCGTTGCTACCAATAGTGAACTC